ACACGGATCTTCTGAAAACAAAAAACTCTATAAACGTGGCATCTTGCAGAATTTTTGTTTTTGGGACATCAAAGCATATAGTTTGTGGGTTTCATCCAATGTCCCCTCTTTAGGGTGATTATCTCAACTATTAGGTCATTATTTCTTTTTAGATCTAATACTTAGACCATATAGAGCATGAATTGGCACAAATTAGTGTGTGTTTCAATTCAGGAAGTCAAAATCTGATCCATTGAAAGCCCTAAGCCAAGGCATCCTGTAGATGGGTTTGATGAGGTGGGAAAGTCCAATGGAAAAAAAGAAAACGATGTTCGAATTAAAGGGTACACCAAGCATGATGGAAAGCAAGACAGCTTTAACCAAATGACATGTGTAATTGTGCACTTTATGATGTAAAAGTCACTATTAATTGTCACAAAGGAATGAAGTCCATCCTAGTGGGAGTATACCTCAGCCTCATGTGCCCTTTCATCTTTGCATCTGCCAACAACACATTGGGCTGGCACCTGCTCTATTATAATGTGCAAAATTGCCTCAATATTCTCTTTTATCTTCTCTTGCTCCATTTGCCCCTGTTGATACATCCATCCATGCCACAGTTCTATATATTTCATTATCTCCATCAATCATTATTTCTTTTGTTTTTTTGTTTGAAAATCAACTCTATCTATCAATCTTGGGGAAGTAATAATAAATGATATTAGTGTTCATAATTTAACAATAGACATGACCCCTCTATAATTGAGACAAGGCTTTAGGCTTAGATAATGTCGGTGATCTCTATCTACCTTATGCAATGACCTAGTGTTGAGATGGTCACTCAGCATTACCCTAAAAAAGGTGTGGGATCAACCTATGGAACTGCAAGTTCCACTGCATCTCACCTGCACCCTACTTTGTCTCTGCTACAAAATCCCCTCAAATGTGCATCAATTGCACTGTGCAGCAAACACATGTGGTTGATTGAATATTTTTTTGAAACTTGAACCAATGTAAAGTAAGCAGAGTTTAAATTAAAATGGTTGAGATCCGAATTTCACATACAGTTGAATACATCTCATTATGTAATTCAAAATATAAAAAACAAGGGTAAAATATTGTACGGACAAGTACAGATACACACGATGCAGAATTCTGAATTCCAGCCCCCTATAAACCACATCCTGTCCGTGAATTCTGCATCAATTCACGGTCAGGATGCATTTCCCCTATACTTTGGGGCTATAAAATTCTGATCTGGGCTGATTCATCATTCTCCCAATATTGTATCAGCCATAGTGGGTGCCACATGATATTGATATTGACACATTCCTATTTTCTCCGTAGGCTGTGTTTGGAAAGTGTACAGATACAAATATATTATATAAAAAATGTTGTATATAGTATTCTTAAACCTTGTATTTTCATTGTACATATTTATATTTGTATTCAACCCAAACTGGGCCTTACCGTCTCGAGGGCCATTTTGGATATTTCATGAATTTATGTTTATTTTTTTCTAAAAATAAAATAAAAACGATTTAATTTTCTTTACACTATTCAAATAAGTCAAATCTTTATTAACGCTGAATGAATCCAAACATAAAAACCTAGTTATTTAGTAGTTGAGCCATTGCTATTATTGTTATCATCGACCATTCGACCTTGTTTTCATTCTTTTTAAAAGTTCTGAAAGCGTTAAAGCTCTCTTTGGTTGCCAATAAAACGTGTGAAAAAATGATAAAGAAGCTTGAGTTGGACGCAAATGGTCTCTTTCTTTTCTTTCATTTTCTATATTTTATCATTCACATCCAGTACAGTATTGTTTCAGATATATTTCTAAACATATGGGACTGGACAAATAGAAAAAAAAATCCCTCATTCCCGTTCTTGCTGTATATTTTATAAATAAATCCAAGTGAAATGAAATAAAATAAACTTCATCTGACAGTTTCAGAGGATTTAAATCAATGTTTTAAAAACCGATTTGAAATCATAACTGCTTTGGCCATGGTTTTTAAAACCGGATCGGACCGGACGATCGGAGCGGAAAAACCAGGAATTGGTCACTTGACCGGTTTCGTTTTCCCCTAAAATCGCTTTTTCTCTAAAATCGTTAATTTTGGTTAGTAAACCGCTGAATCGGCCGATTAATTGTTCGAACGTTTTTTAACTTTTTTATTTTTTTGTTAAAATAGGCAAACCGTTTGGATCGAACAATCAGACTGTTAGAACCGATAACCGGGACCTCTGATCGGTTCAGTCACCGGTTTGTTTTTAAAAACCATGGCTTTGGCCACAAATTTATGGATTAGTGATTTAACTGTCCGGCCTAAATGGATCAGTTTGCCCCAGTTGAAGAAAGAAAATAAAAAAGGGTTAAAAATCATTAACAAAGATCAGAACCTCGTTTGGGCAAGAAGACAGTTGCATGGGAACCGTTTGGGCAATAAATTAGAAAACCACTCTACATGTAAGCCCAGTTCCAACCTATATAGATTCACATCTGGTCCATTCTCCTCATAATTGGATAATGGGTTGGGTTTCAAGGGGGAAAGTCCACGTAAAATAGGATCCAAATCCCAGTCCATATTACGTGGCTCGTATGGTATGGCTTCAAATCACACTTTTTTTTTTTTTTTTTTTATCAACTCCCGTTGGGCCTCAGGTGGTGGGGTCCACATGGTCCCACACAAGTTCAGCAAGTAGCCTTCAATCACTTAAATCACATTTGACCTCCATGCGAATTGCCAATGGCAAGTTGAAGTTGGATGGATGTGTGCAAAGAAGAAAGAGAGGAAAAACCCGCAAAAAGCTTCATGGGGCCCCATAAATTGAGGACAAACTTTCTCTAGCGGTTTAGATTAGATGCTCTGGATGAGATAGTGGGCCCCCCTTGACAAGATGCCAAGCATCTGGTCCTCACACACGGTCTTCTCACCACAGGATAGGATTGGGTTTGCTTTCACCAGTCTTTCAGCCACCGCTTTTGAGATTCATCTTCCCCCGGCTGGAGGCAATGCATCCCTGCTTTGCTTCCTGTGGAAAGCAAAGCAAAGCCCACGTAGATAAACCACGTATTTTGCATTCTTAAATATTAAACGCAGTCGTGGGCTTCTTTGTTGTGGATTCTCATTATCCAATTGCAAAGAAAGCCCAAAATCGCATTCACACTTGAATTTCATCATATATTTTTAGATTCTTTTCTCCAGTGTTTCTCTTATTGAGGATGTCTTATTATTGAAAATTTATATCTAAATTCAATCTGAAATTCGATCAGATTTGAAGATTTTGGATTTGAATTCGAATTTTAATAAATTCATATTTAATGCTTTAATTTTTAAAAATATAAAAAGACTAATTATTTTTAACTTTTCTATATAATAAATTAATGTAAATATAATATACTGAATTTTGTATATATAAATTTATAATATATATATATATACAGTTTTAAATATAATTATATACAATTTATATATTAAAATTAATAAATATTATAATATAATTGGATTCACATAGATTCAAATCCCAATCTAATCAGATTACATAAATATATTATCTCAATATAACATAATTGAATGAATATGAAATTAGGCCATAAATTTTCAAGTATCATTGACAGACCTACCTCCTATGATCTGAATAAATCATAGGAGCCTGCCATCATTGCATCATACATTTTCAAATAATTGGGTTCCACTCAAGCTACTAATTGGACCACCCGTCATCAAGGCATTTTCGAGTGGTGCCAATTTTTTCGGTTGGGTTGACAAAGGGTAGATCCTAACTTAACCCAAATTATTCAAGTTAGAGTTGATCCATGAGTGTTTCCGCAGTCGAATCCACTTGGAATTTGATAAATGCATTGCTTGTGAAGTATGTGTTTGTGTATGTCCTATAGATCTACCCGTTGTTGATTGGAGATTAGAAACTGATATTTGAAAGAAACGATTGCTTAATTACAGTATTGATTTTGGAATCTGTATATTTTGTGGTAACTGTGTCGAGTATTGTCCAACAAATTGTTTATCAATGAATGAAGTGGTTCAACCATTCGGGCCAGTTGGTATTTGGATCAAACTGATTTGTAAACATTGAAAAGTAGATCAAACACCTTTTCAGTCTGATTCGGACCATGTTGTATCCATATCGACCCATATATTCTAGTGCCCTTACACCAACATGACATGAGAACACGGATTAATGTTCGGCTTTGTGCACTGAGAAGACAAAATCACTATAATACAGTATAACTTCAACCAATACAATTTAAAATAATTTTCAATAGTTAAAGAACAGATCCTTTTTTTTTATCTGGTTTACGGTTTACACGCTTCCAATAGTAATAATTTTAGTTGTATTTCACCTACAGCTGAAGCACTTACCATTAATAAAAAAGCTATTAACTTTTGATTACAAAAATCTTCATGACCTAGTCAATTAACTTTACAACATTGTCGCCGCCGGTAGTTGAGCAAAGCGGCCGACGCCGTGCATTGAAAAGCAAATGCAATGCAGTTAAGGTTAAAAGTAGCCTACAGATAGGAAAATGACTACTCGTCTACTCCCTCTCTGGTGCTGAACAAATCAGATTGCTTTAGCAATAGCTTATTAACTTGGATTTTTTGATACAGAAGCAACGAAGCATATATAAGCAGCCATAGCCAGACTCCTTTCTTTTCTCTTTCCGATTCACACCCACCCATTTCCATCTAAGCCATCATCTCTCTCTCGTTCAGCAAATGAGATTCAAAGCCTTATTAGTTATTACAAGAAATGAAGAACAACGACATGACAAATACATTCCACAACGAATATAATAGAGTCCAAAGGCCAAGCAAGCCGCAGGAAAAAAAATAATAATAATAATGGGGCAGATGAGAAAGAATTACTGGTATCTAGTTAGTCACGCCGACGAGAAGCAACTAAAAGACATTTTTGGAATGACTTTTCTCCTTCCTGTTCATTCATTGCTTTCTGAATTTGATTTAAATTAACTAGCACGGTAGGAATGTAAGCAAGGGAGGGAGAGAGAGATGTGAGTCTCTTCTCCATTGGGCCATTCTCTCTACGATTGTATCGTAATTTCACCAAGTCCACATCAACAACGGCTCTTAGTCTTAGCTTTTTCTTCCTTTCTTGCTCTGGTGATAAACATCTAAAAAGCCTAGGAGGAAAGTAATACATTATTGCCATTACTGTTTTTATGATTTTACATATATAAAACGGAAACCCATTATTCCCAAAATCGTAGGTTCATTCAACAAGAAGAAAGCGCGGGTTTTACAGATACATGAAACTTCCCCTCCTCAAATCATCAATCAAGATGCTTCTTAACACCCGCATTCTCCTAATCTGTCTCTTAACCACCTTTCTTCCTCTTATCAGAGTCAGAGCTACCCTCAACCTCACTCTTCCCCATCAACATCCCGACCCCGAATCTGTTGTTCAAGATGTACAGAGGTAACAAAGCAAAGCACAGCAAATGCACATTTAGCTTCTTATTTCTCTACTGCTCTGCCCCTGCTTCCTCTGTTTTCTCCGTCGTTTATTTCAATCTGGGTTGTTCCTTTTTCGTCTGATTTTGCAGGAAAGTGAATGTGTCCGTCTCGAGGAGGCAAATGCTTGGGGTTTGGAACAAGGACCAGTTTTCGTGCGTCACCGGTAACCCCATCGATGACTGTTGGAGGTGCGACCCCAACTGGGAAGCGAACCGCCAACGGTTAGCCGACTGCGGGATCGGGTTCGGCCGAGACGCGCTTGGCGGGAAGGGGGGTAAGATCTATGTCGTCACCGATTCTTCCGACCACGACCCAGTCAACCCTACGCCGGGCACGCTACGACACGCCGTGATCCAAAACGAGCCCCTCTGGATCATCTTCGCAAGCAGCATGCTAATCAGGCTGAAGCAAGAGCTTATCGTGAACAGCTTCAAGACCATCGACGGCCGCGGCGCCAATGTCCACATCGTGGGTGGTGGATGCATCACCATCCAGTACGTTAGCAATATCATCATCCACAACATCCACATTCACCACTGCGTGCCCTCCGGCAAGGCCAACGTGCGCTCGAGCCCAACCCATTACGGCTGGCGGACGATGTCGGACGGCGACGGAATCTCCATATCGGGGTCGAGGAAGATATGGATCGATCACTGCTCGCTGTCTTACTGCACAGACGGTCTAATCGATGCGATTCTGGGTTCGACGGGAATTACCATATCAAACAACTACTTCTCCCATCACGATGAGGTAATGCTGCTGGGACACAACGATGCCTATATGCTGGACTCTGGGATGCAAGTGACCATTGCGTTCAATCACTTCGGCGAGGCGCTGGTGCAGAGAATGCCGAGGTGTAGACATGGATACATCCACATCGTCAACAACGATTTCACGCAGTGGGAGATGTACGCCATCGGAGGCAGCGCCAACCCCACCATCAACAGTCAGGGCAACCGCTACATGGCGCCGACGAACCCGAACGCGAAGGAGGTGACGAAGCGGGTGGACACAGACGAGAGTGAGTGGACGAGATGGAACTGGAGGACGGAGGGGGACCTAATGGTAAATGGGGCGTTCTTCGTGCCATCCGGAGAGGGGCTTGGGGTGAAGTACGCCAAGGCGACGAGCGTGGAGCCCAAGTCGGCTGAGCTGATTGACCAGTTAACCATGAACGCCGGTGTCTTGGGAGGGACCAGGTATGTCTTTTCCTTTGTTGCTCTTTTGTTCACTTTCCGGTTTCTCATCATCGATGACTAAATTAACGTCCAATTTAACTGTCTCTTAAGAGGGGTATTTAAATAAATGTGTAAATTACATATTAGTACGTGCCATACTGCCATTACCCCCTGAACTTTCTTTTGCACAAAACCCCCTAAGCTTTCAGATTCGGACAGAAATCCCCTTGCTTGACATTCCTCATTTAATTTTGAAAAAGATCCTCTCATGTAATTGTTTATACTTTTTTAAATTCCCAAACTATCCTTTATCCAATAATTTTTTCTTTTTAAATAAGTGTTGGGGCTTGTTTTATAGCGGTTTCTTTTTTCCTGATTTCCATTTGTTTCTGGCTTGATTAATATTAATTGGATGTTGTATTTGTTACAATTCCAAGTTTTAGTAAAAGTTTTTTTCTTTTTTTTGCAATTTCCATTTTATAAAAATTCCATTAAATCGATTTCTTTTATCACGCAACTTTAACAGATAAGGGGTCTTTGTATGAATTTGAAAGTTGAAGGGGTAATCGCCACTACCCCTAAAATAGCATTTCTTTTGCTTGTTTTATTTTAGATTTTTTTGCATGTTTTATTTCTTCATTTTTTGGTAAGGAATTGTTTGATTTCTTCATTGGTAAACCAGTGGACGTTGGTTCAGAATCCCGCTGACCCATAAAGCCTTGTTAATGGGGTTTTGCAGTCTTGGTCTTTCAGCTTTTCAGATTCTTCTCTTGTTGCTTTTTCTCTTCTTTCATATGTAAAAGAAGTGCTTTCTAAAAACACTTAAAAAAATAAAAAAAAAAGAAAAGTCGTTTTCTGTTCACTTCAACAAGATAAAAAAAAGGAATTGTAGGAGAAGCTTAGGGCTACAGCTGCGTTTTGTTTGGATGTTGGGTGAGTGCTCTCAGACTGGAGTATTTGAAATTGACGGAGATGTCTTTACTTTAGATAACATGAGTCATGGTATTCCTGTAAACCTGCGCGCCAGCCCATGAGTTGGGTTGTGAATGCGGTTCGTTTTCAATGTCACTAGCCGTAGAGTGAGACTGATAAGAGGACTCAACACTCAAGGAGGCAGTTCCTAGTGTACTAAATTAATTAGTAAAAGTTATTAGGTTAAAGACAGATTGCTGCTGACTAAGTGATTTTGTGACTTTTTTGTTTATTTTTGGTGACGACTGGACAGGGACAACAGTGGGAGCATAACGTACCCGGTTTTCAACGGTGGTGGGACCAGCACCGGCACCGGCACCGGCACCGGAGTGGGGTCGGGTGGTTTCGGTGGTGGGGGAGGAGGTGATCCAGATTACTTCGGGATGATCTTCGGGAGCGGCAGCGGCGCACCACCGCCACCCTCCTTTTCCTGGCTTTCTTCCTTGTTATTATTTCTGTATCTTATCTCCACCATCACCACGTTATTATAATAATATAGATTATAGTAAATTATTATTTATAAGATTACTGAAATCGATAGAAAGAAAGAAAGAAAAAAAAATGGAGATTATAATTGCATATCTTCAAATCATCCTATCCCTCTTGTATAATTAATTAATTAAAGGCCACAAAAAAGTTCTTGAAGTTGGGTCCACCTGGATCTAACATGTTTTCATGATTGTGTTGCTGTGACCGTTGGATTTTGGATCCATAGGTATTGAAAAAAGAGTTCAAATCAGCCCCCTACAAGATTATTGTTCCTCACAACGTCCCACAGCACAATCCTGTGTGTATTGGAAATATCTCTCTCGATGATGACATAATTATTTTTAACATTGGGAGATGTTCTCAATATACAGCGAGAATGTGGAACATTGTGGGGGGTTGATTTAGTCTCTAAAAAAAAAAAAAATTCTCTGTGTGCGGCTGAGCTGGAACATGGTTCTTTTTTTTCTTTTTCCCGGATCCCCTGTCCGTTTCATGGGCACCTTTCGTTTTCTTCCCTTTTTCAACACTTTGAAGGTTGAGAACTTTACTAGTTAATTTTGTTGGATCTGTTTCACGTTGTTGAACATGGCATGTGGGCCGATTTGGCAACCAGTCCAATTTGCCTTTGTCTGTGGGCTTTGAATTGATATAATGACATCCTCCTTAGATGCACTGTCTTCCCTAGGCTAAAACCGTAGGGCTGGCACTTTTTTAACTTCTTATATCTGATTCAATGTGCTGATCCAGTCCACATTTCCACACTGCCACCACTATAGTCTCTGGACTGAGACAAGAGATTCCATTACAAGTTGCAAAAAGGTATTGGCCCATAATTAATTGGTGTGAATATGATCCACATTAATTCTCGGCCCATGGGTGATAAGGTTCCTATTCCAAGCCCACATTTTGTCCTTTGGAATTCGACGTGGAACATAATGTGGTGTTTGGTTATGCATGGAGATGGGACCCCAATCCAGTTTATCACTTCATCTGCAACAAACAATCATGGTTGTGATTGTCCAGTAATCTGCTTGATTGTTTCAAAGTTTGGGCCCAGAGAAGTAGATGGAGTGGCTCACACTGAATTCAGTAGGGCCCATCAAATCATGTTATCTGGTGAATCATATACCTAATAACAAAAAGCCACCAGGAAATAATCCAAACCCAGGCCTAACGTAAAGTCATCACCATGACTGCATGTCCCCATCAATTCAATTATATGGATTGAGGAGTGTGGGCCCAATCTGTGCTGTAGTGTTGAAAACCATGCCCACAAACTATCAGTGAGTCCATGCCTCCTCCATGGTTTATATTTCTCTCTCACACAAGTCACGAGCTTCTGGGATTGCAACTGACTGGGGGAGTACTATCTGGGTTTCTAAAAAGCACCTGTTCAACTGATACAGGAGGACAAATTGACACCGAGATTTTCTTCAACTACAGGTTCAATATGGGAATTGCTTCTGACTTCTAACAAAAACCAGATAAGAGAAGGAAAACAGCTTTAGCTCTTATAATCAGATCAAACCAGGGATCTTTTCCCACACTTTTGACCAAAACAAACTTGCTCTACCCACCAACACTCATAATTCATCTCATCCTGTCGTTCTCTTCTAAACAATTCCATGTGAAACAAAGAAAGTTGCTCTCTCCTCTCTCTCTCTCTCTCTCTCTCTCTCTCAATTCAAATTCATAATACATTGATTTATATTTTTCCTATTTATAAACTGACAAAATTCATTAATATAAAAAATGGGTTGATATTGTGACATCTGAACCGATCAAATAATGGGGGAATGGATGAGGCATCTGACATCTCCATTGCGCATGACTAGTTGCTGTGGGCCTTGTGAGTTGTGGCTAGTGATCCTCCCCCGAGGGAATCTGTCCTTGTGTTGCATAAGATTTGAACCCAAACCCATTTATTGTCTTCACCTTCTTTCTGATGAAACCCAATCTCCTGGGCCTACAATAGGGCCGGCCTACAAAACCATCAGCCCAGCCCACCGATGAGCTTACTTGCAGGGTCTGATGTGATGGGTCATTCAACGAGAGGGCCTGAAATCATAATCAAAAAAAGAAAAAAAAAAAAAAGAAAACGTAAACGGTGGGTTTAGAATCCTTCATTTTCTTTTTTATAGGGTGTAGTCGTGTAGGGTTTTGGATCTTAAATTGCAAGATTGGGCTTCTGGGTTTAAATTATACTTGTACACCTCCATCTTGGCTATGGGCTCAGGGTTCGTGGATTCCGGGTCACGGACCAGGTCCAAAACCATGAGTAGAAAGACCCATATAATTTCCTCAATTTTTTTTTTAATGATAACTCCCACTTTTTACATGACGCAATGATACCTTTCTTCGCTTTTACTGGTAAGAGTGAGGCATCAAATGTCCCACAAACAAAGAGACAAGAACCGAAAGGGTTGGCTATTTTATCACATTTTTGTTCTTTCTCATTAAATTTTTAAAAAGGTCTTTTCCTTGGTTTCCATACTTATTATTATTATTATTATTATTATTATAACAAAACGCCAAAATAATAAAGCAGAAACAAAAGGTCATTGTGTTTTTATAAGGTGGCTTGACCTAGGGACCATTTAGTGTAAATGTTGGGCCCATTAAGAGCCCATGGTGATGAACTCAGGGGTTCACTGTCACCTACAGTGAATTCGGCCAAGCCTTGTAACAGAGGCTGGGCTGAACCCATGTGGCTGATGTGTAAATCAATGTTTAGATTCCACGCCATACAAGGATACCCAATTGGGCAGCAGTTTGGAGGATAAGTGAGCACATGGACTTAATGGGCCTAAAGCCCAATTCGAATTGATTTAATATGATTAATTAAAGAGGGACAGTTCTGGGATTTAAATCAACAGATAGAATAAGGGATTGTCTCTATCCATTCAAAGAGTCCAGATCCAAATAAAGATTTTGGATTAGGAAACTCCTAATGAGATTAGGAGGGATGATCTTTATCTGTAGATAAGATAAGGGATTATTCTTATTTATTAAAGAGAGTCCAGATCCAAATACAAGATTTGGATTAGGAAACTCCTAATGAGATTAGGAGAAACTCCCTTTAAGGCTATAAATAGAGGAGGAGGGCGAATCCCAATTCACCCAATTAAATTACAGATTCAAGAGAGAAGACAACTCTAGTTGGACTGACGTCATCTTCTGCTCTTGCCTTCTCCTATTGCTACCGCCATTGCTAGTTTGATTTCCACCTCTAGGAGCGATCAAGAAAGGTTCTTGATATTAGTTTTTGGAGAAAAACTAATCTGAAGTCGTGCTCACTCACCCTCCATCGAATTCTTACTGAAGAATTCGGTTCTTGCTGAAAAACCACCTGCTGATTCTGCTCCACCTATACTGTGTCATTTTCAGTGGGAGCAATCTTTGGCGTTTTCCTTGGGCGTAAACACTTTCATTGGGAGTTACTACTACTCTGTATCAGATATTACCTCTCCTATCTTTTGGTTTCAGATCTGGTCTGGTTTAGGGTTCAAGATTGATCATTAAAAATGCAATTTTCTAAAATAGGGAATGCGATTCCCACATGGGAGAGAAAGTTTTGAAATTTCGTCCAACCTACCTACAGGGTTCGGCTATCCATATGATGGATCTCTCATCCCTTCACTTTGTTGCTAACGTAGCAATTCTAAGAGCAAATAAAGGCAACAAAAAGTAGTGCTTTGTCAAAACAGAAATAGTGATGAACTTCCTTTAATCGTTGATGTTGCTGACCAAAACCAGTAGTCAAGAAAGCAATGCTAAGTGTTTAGACCAACTTATTCTGTTTAATATCAAATATACACAATTTTTAGTTTAAATGTTTGATTTTGTGGCAAGCACTTCATGATAAAAGAACAAAATATATCTTCTCAACTATGTTTCTTACAAATATAGCTGTTGAAAGAACTACACGATGAGGCTACTGATGACAAAACTGCAGCTCATCCTATAACATGATTTAAATGCAACCTGAGCCCGTAGCCCCAACCTACTAGATCAGATAACCAAACTCTCAACGATCTGTAAATGATGCATTCATAAGGTTGAAAGCTGAATCCATAAACTGCAGAAAGAAAAGCTTCATTAGCCCTTGAACTTGGCCAATCTGTTTAGATGCAGGTTTTGGAGTAATAAAATGAACATGAAATAACAAGAAATTAGTTCCTTAAATAACTACTTTTATTGAATTGGAAAGGTTAAATTACCGCATAAGCAACTGTTTAAAACTAGAATCAGATATGCATTGATTGAACAAATGGATTTATCAATTAAAAGCTTTAGCAAAATAGATGTTATTTTAGCCAGTCTATTTTCTTCACCATGTTGCTTGTTATTTAATGAATGTCCATTACATTGAGAGTTAAGAGGGACAAAAGAAATTATTTTAATAGAAATAAATTATATGAGAAGGAGAATGCTATTAATCGGAAATATCCTTCTAAAATCCAAATACTAGCATGTGACTGTGATTTGAGTTTGCCAAGTATTTTATATCATAAAATGCAAATACAACCATACAAATCATCATTAGAGAAGGCATTGCCTGATCCAAACCTCAATATGCATGATTTGCTGTCTAAAAAGAAGAGCTCAATAGATACGGATTGTGAGGTGAGTATCTTGTATAAAATTACTTGGGTTTGGTTTCAAACACGATCTATTCATAGAGAGGAATTACAAAACATGGAAGTAGATCTAAGTTGGGTTAAAAAGGACTGCTAATGCTTTTGCTGATGTACTGGCAAAACATGGGGTGGGAAGATATCAAATGTTTTGGGCACAATTATAATCTGTTCTTGCTTATAATTCTGGTGAGGAGAGGTAAGAAAGGTTACCTCTCCTCTGTTGTATAATTTTCTCTTTGTTTAATGAAACTCTGTTTATTGATAAAAAAAATAGAGAGGAATTACTTAGTTTTGTCCTTGCAAATACAAACCTATGATTTCTGGTATTATCATCATGCACACATAATATGGTCATTCAGACACATGATTTAACTTTATTTATTTTATCAGATGTACAGCAGACACCACAAAACAGACGACTAATTTAAAATTTAAACTACAAAACAACCATAAATCTAGAACTATGAATCCTGTAATGCTATTAAGATGTCAGGTATTTCCTAAAAAATCAAGATACAAGGGATTTTTGTTGGGAATATAATTTGATTCGTGCAGAAAACTATAGTGTTTGAAGATTATAAAAAAACAAGTAGCTCATTAGAAGATAGTAGTTGAGGGGTCCAAACTTCATATATCAAGCTTTCAGGTTGGAATACAAGAACAATAGTTGATGCATATTTACTGCATGCACTTTTATGACTTTTTCTTTTCATTTCTTTTTTTTTTTTTCGGGGGGGGGAGGGGGGGGCGCTAATGAGATACACAAAGGGGTAACCCTCTCAGCAAATGGGCTTACGGAATCATATAGTAGTTCCCATTTGCCAGAAATCTTGTGCTTCATAAGAAAATGGCATAAGCAGATATAGTTTTCTTTTTTGGTCAAGAATGCAGAGTAATGTAGATAATACCCAACCAAAATAACTCCAACTAATGTTTCTTCAAAGGAGCCAAAGAGTGGATACGATAAGGTTGGCTCATGCATTTTGTTTGGAAGAAGGCGTTTGGACTTTCACCTAAATTTGTGGCTACAAGAAAATTAGAAAAATGAGAATATCAATATATTCTTCAATCTTCATGTTGTCGAGTTTGGTTCAACACAAACACCTAAACAAATTGCAAGGATTTATATCTATAAAAATACTTGTTTATTAAAAATGGTGTAAAACACAAAGGAACAGGTGTATGCAATTATCGTTGGCAAAGAAAAAAAAGGAAATAAAAGAACACATAGCTCCCTCTTCCCAAATAAATGAAAAGGAAGAAACATGAAGGTGCTGATAAAAAAAGAAGAAAGAAAGAAACAAGAAGATGTACAATTCTTAACCTTTATCCATTGTTTGGACCACTGTAGTCAGACTTACTGTTTTAAAAGACATGCAAGCATATCCATGATGCTCATTTCAAAGCAAGGATCAAGGAAAACACTTCAAAGCTCATAAGTACAAGGTACATTCCTCAAACCTAAGCAGGGGCAGAGCTAGGAAACTTTCATGAGGGGGGCCAAAACCTAAGATGAATTGGGGG